GTAAGATTTCCAAATAGGCTATTCCAAATAGGCTATTTGAGCCCATTTCTCCTTGTGAAATAATGAAAATATAGTCTTTGTCCAATATGGCCCCTGAGAGGAGAGATATTTCAATGCATAGATGAAATATATGGAAAATGTGAAGAAGGTGAGAAAAAAAAAGTGAAGAAACTTTTTCATAAACACTGTACTAGTTGTCACAGTCTTAATTATTTATTGCTACCCACCTCATCAGGTTATGTTTCTACGTGGTACACTTGGGAGGTTTTTCAGCCAATGCTTTTTTTCTTTCTTTTTTATTTTAAGTAGAAAGTAAGTTTCTTGTTGGTTTGCAGCTAGTGAGCAGTCCCATCCAAGCTGAGTACCTGCTATTATGTTAGTAGTAATGGTTTTGTTAGCTGTTCTTGAACAATGGAATAGTGTCAGAAGTGTCAAAGATAATTTCTTGATTTAGTTGATGAAAATGTTTCTTTATTTTCAGTTAACTTTTACTTCTCTCAAAGGCAAATAATTCTAATATTCAGCAGAGATCTTTCTAAAGGCTGACAGACAACTTTAATATTGGTCTGCTCTGGCTTAAAGGGTAGAAATGTGGATGTCCTGAAGCGCTGGACAGCTTATGTGTTTCTGTATGTGAGATGTAATAATTCAAGTTTATTTTAAGTAGATACCTTAAAACCAGAACAGGATTACCAGGCTGAATTGCTGATTGCCACAATGTGACACCACAATAAAAAGGGAAATACCATGTTTTGGTCAACTTACTTTTCAGATTGGGTTTTTTTGGTTCTTTTTTTGTAATGACAGAGGTCAGTTAAGAATGTTACATTTATGAATTATTATGTCTTTTTAAAAGTGCATTTGGATGATTGCTGTTGTTCAGTTTTCTCTTGGCTATACTTTCACAACTCTTGAGGCAGAGAAATGTGTGCTTATGTATGTAGAAATAAATACTCATAAGGATTTTTGATAGGTCGTCATGACCCAGTTCCACTTTATAAATCTTTCTATTAGAGAAAAAAATTTGCAGCTGTTTAACCAAGAATGTTGTTTTCTGATATTTCTGTTAATTGTATAAGTGAAACTGCCATGGTGGGTGGTGCTTTGGGGTTTTTTTTTTGGTAACTTGATGCTTTCTTATACCTAGGAGTTTCTCTTACTGATCTCTTTCCAATAGTCTCTTGATTTCTTTTTTATTTTTTTTATTTTTAAAGTGCTCCCTTTTGTGATCGTGACATTATGGTCATTATTATTTCAGTATCAGTTATGAAATAATTTTTATTACAGTGTGTCATTAGCAGTTAAAGGAATGAGATTGTATTTTTCCCCTTCTAAGTCTTCAAGTATTGCTCTGGGCCTGCGTTTGCTTGCATGGCTCTCTGGATATCACGACTTCTAAATTTTCTTGCTTTTTGTAGTTTTTTTTTTCAATTTTGCTCAGTGGGTATCTATACCTATTTGCTTTTGTTGCTGCCAATGTTCTAGTAACAGTTAAAACTCTTACTGTCTGTATTTCTTCAGGTCTTAAAATATTTTAATAACACCATCCATTTGGGCTTAGCTGGTGATCTGTTTCAGAACCTCAAAATTTATTGCAATAGGATCTCCATGTTTATTATTAATGTAATATAACCTTATGTCTAAGCATTATTAGTTACTGATTAGCCAGTTTTCCATGCAAATACAAAAGTGGATAAGTTTAACCACAAAGCTGGGATGGTGCCATGGTATGATTGTAAACATTGTATTATCATAGTGAGAGCACAGTAGGAGTCATATTATCCCTTAATAAAGCCTCTATGGCAGGATAGCTGTGTGTGCCTGAAGATGTTGGTTTTGTTACCATTAGGATATGAGCTCTTGAGAGGGAATGAAAAGATGAAACTTCCTCATGACCTAGACCACTAGGGATAAATTTTATTACCGATGATTTACAAAATTCTTTTACCAAGTGAGGAACACAGGAGTATTTCCTGCTTTATGGATGAGAAAATAGAGTTATAGTTGCTGAATGGCCAAATTGTTTCACCTCTCTAACAGATGTTCGATAAAACCCATTTTCTCAAATCTCCACTGTGTGATTTGGTATCAACTAAGAGCTGCAGCTATTGTGGCAGTATCCTGCTTTAGGATAGGAGAAAACAAGTCTTATAATCCCCAAAGAAAAGTTACAAACCCACATGAGTGCCCTAGCAGCAGTGTGCTGCCAAAGTGGGGGTTCTTCATCTCCAATGTGTAGGTAGGGAACAGCTGTGATTTATGAGGTCTCTGTTCCCATGGGCTTACACTGCCTGGGAAATATTGAGTGTATATATATTAATTCATCTCATTTTGGATAAACATCAATGTAAGAGCACCTTTTACATATACATTTTCTATGATTTAAAAAATTTTATCAATAGCCCCCTGAAAGCTTTCAAGAGTATGACAGAGATCAATGGTTTCCTTGTTCTTGTGTGCTGTGCAAAGATGATAAATGGGCTTTCAAGGCACTGAGAAGGTATTTAAAAAAAAAGTGGGGAAAGCCACTAAACTGGCCTCAAAGAATCTGCTGGCTGAAGGGAAATCTTAGTGAGATAGGGAAATGAAAAATTAATGGAGGCTTACTTGTAAGCAGTATGTTTGAGACAGCAAGAGCATTGCTTACCGGGTTATTTGAGCCTTAACTGAGTTCTTATTTATGTCTGTACATATATATATATATATAACTGGAACCCATTTTAAATTGGCCAGTTCTTTCCTCCTCACCCCTCCAAAACCACAGATCATATTTCAGTGGTTAGATTCTTCTATTTAAGGTTTGAGGATTTTTTTCCTCCTTTTTTATACCACATCAATGGTGTGAAATCTTTCATTTGACTAATTACCTTTGCTTCATTTGACTAGTGGCTAGTCTGGCTTTATGCGAGTTAATTTGGACACACTTGGTGATCTCTTCCTCCTTCTGACTTAAGGGTAGAATACTCATATGGAATATAATGGCAAAGGGGGCTCCTGCTCCAGTCAGTTTGCATTGTGTAGACTGTGAGAAACTGAAAGCTCTGCATGGGACACTTCTCTACACTAGCCATATTGTGGAATCTGCATCTCTCTATGGGCATGTCACGCAAAAAGGGGCAGAAAAGATCTATCACCTTACAAGGCATCTTTGTGTTAAATTTCTGTTTAAGTTTGTGTTAAATTCAGAGATTCACTACCTGAGAACTGTAATCTTTATGGCCTTAAAGGTTACACAGTCTTTCAAAATGCTTGACATTTTTTATTCGGTACCTTTATCAGCATAGAAATCTTTGCTATAGCACCGAGGAGAAGATGTGAAAATGTAACAATGAAGATGAGAAGGTGCCTGCATGAAGTTAGGGCATGATACTTTGTTCTTCAGTTACTGAACTTACTCTTGAGTGAGTATGGATGAGGGTAACTTTCCACTGTGAAGGGTCAGGAGCAAGGAAGACATTTTTCCAGGTCATATTGAAAGAGAGGAGATGGCAAGTTGCTAACCCCTCTGTATTCTTGGCTTTGTTGAAGACTAGAAGTGTGGTTTTGAAGTTGTGTGTATAGGTCACAGTCACACTGGAGTCACACTGAGGCAACAGAGTTATCTTGTCTTTAGATAACAAGTGTTTCCATGAGTCACAGAATTAAATTAGGTTTTACTTCCCCCCAGCCCCTCAATCTTTTTTTTGTCATAAGTCTGACTGAGTTTGATATCTAAAAAAGAAGTTGGCTGCAGTTGAAACTTTCCTTATACTTGGATCAAGTATAAGGGCTCCCCTCTGTGGATATACTGGAATTGAGGAGTGGGGTCGAAGGCAACCATTCGATGAGAGGAGGAGTAGGAGGATCTTCTTTAGAAACACCTGTTTTCATAAAGCACATTGGGATTTCATATCTATATTACCTCTACTCTCATCAAACTTGTTTGGAAGTTGGCTGTTGGGTTTGAGCACTGCTATGGAGGAAGATAACTGAAGTTGGATTTCATAAGCTTCATTTCCTTTAGGAAGCTATGTGCATAAAAATAAAGTTTTTAGTGGCAAAGAAAAATTGTAAATGTGAACAGCAGGGAATGGCTGCATGTGGGAATGTGAGCCACTGGAGAGGCAGCAGGAAGAGATGAAGGGGTCATTTTGGCAGGCAGTGCTGTCTGGTATAAACCAGGGCTGTCTGAAGGCGGGAGCTCTACTTTTTTGTGCCTCTGAATTAGACTATTTCATAATAATTTAAAGTGTTAAAAATAATATTTTTTACTTTTCTGTTTTATGGGAGTACAGATTTTGAAGACTCATTTTCAGGGATAGGTCGCTAGCATTTCAGGAAGAGCCACATATGGCAAGAAGGTAAATTCAGTCTTGCTGCTGAACTTGGACTTGGCCTGCCCCCTTCTGCTAGCAGTGGTTAGGGCTTCTTGTTAGTGCTTGTGAAAAAGACTTTACTGCCGTGCCTGCCTCACTGGACCTTGGTCACAACCTTTACTTGCAGGGAAAAGGTGCTCTTGAGGTTTGCCTTAAGTTTAGAATTGCTGAAATCTGTCTTGGGCTGTGTTCATTCTACGCATCAATATTGTAATGACTAATGTAATGTCCCTGGGTTGCTGCAATGTTGAAATGGTTTTGGGGCTTCTCTAGTTTCCAGGACTGGGAATAAAGAGTTTTAAAACCTGCAGACTTTGAAGTCTTAACCAGTGTAGGAGAATTGGTTTTGTCAACACTTAACACAAGTTGTCTTAATGCTTTCCTGAAATCCATGTGATTTCAGGTTTAGGCGCTGCAGGATATAACTGAAGATACAAAAGTTTGTAATTCTATCAACAGTAAGAATTGTTTGATCCAACTCCAGCAAAAATGTTATGTGACATAATACCTCTGAAATTGCTTGAGGGGTTAAGAAATTACATTGCAGCATGAGGCTTGCTCTGCTGAGTAAATAAACAGCTAATTAATGAGTGTGTGGGGGTTTAGCGTTTCTTTATATTTTCTTTTTCCCGTCCTCTTCCCCAGGAATGTTTCGGAAAAATGAAGACTTGACTCCATCACAGAGGTGTTTGGCTGTAAGGTAGGCTTTCTCACATTTCTGCTTTGGGGCTGTTTTGTGTGCTTTATTAATGCTCTGTGCAATTTCTACAGATCACATTCAAGACAGAGAGTTTACAAGCCCATGTAAAACAGATCCATGCTTTTTATATTTGTAGCTTAATTTGTACATCTATTCTTCCAAAAAATATCACTAGAAGTAGGTTTTATACTTATTTAGGAAAAGCATTATAAGTTCAATGCAGTGTATGCAAATTAATGTCATATCAGACAGGAGACTAGTTAACAATACACATATGAAGTAGCTGGTGAAGAAACATGCTTGTTTAATTCTGTTTTTCAGTATTTAACTTACCCTTTCTCCTTTCTTTATTCAGGAGACTTGAAAATAGTGTGTTGTCTTGGGCAAGAGAGGCTTGATTTGAGACATTTGCTTTAATTGAAATTATTGCCAGTTAACACAAGGCTTTGTTTATTGATTCAAAATAGAGAATCTAATACAGTTGAACAAACAGAGAAACAGCCTTCCCTTTCCTTCCCCAGGCTCAGCTTCAGTCAAACACCTCTGCTGGGCAAGGACAGGGTCATTAGAGTTCAGGAGGTCTGTCTGAAAATGCTCAGTATGGATTGGAAAGAAATTCTGTGTGTAGAATGTTTCAAGCTGTGATTACAGAAGACACATAAACTGCTTTCGTACATGTGTTTTTTACTGCAATCAGAGTAAGAGATAACATGGAGTATGACTTTTCCTACTGTGGAAATTCTGTAGAACTACACATCCCATCTCACGAGTTGCTTGTCTTTGAATTACAGACGCATGCCAAGTCTACTGGAGTATTTAAGTTACAACTGTAATTTCATGGGTATCCTGGCAGGCCCGTTATGCTCTTACAAAGACTATATTACTTTCATTGAAGGCAGATCATACCAACTGCAACAGTCTGAAGCAAATGGGAAGGAAGATACAAAATATGAACAAACGGATCCTTCCCCAAATGTAAGATGTGTGACTCTTGCAGTGCTGATGCTTACGTAATCATTGCATGAAAAGCTTGGTTTGCACTCTTCATTTACAGGCATAACTTCTGAGCTCTATCTGGAGTTCATTCATCAACAGAATACTTTCCTGCTCAAAAAGTTATATGCTTATTTTTTTAAGGCAGGTTTTCTCCATGGTTTCCAGACTGGATCTTGTGGATAAAAACAGATTAAATTGGAGCTTCCTAACAAGCTTATATGGTAAAAAGCCATATTTAAATTAAAACAGTTCATGCACGTTTCCTTCAAAGCATATACTGTGCTGAAAAAAAAAAGTCCTGGTAAGGAGAAAGTGCACAATTTGTTGTTTGAAAGCTGATGAGAGTTCCAGCAAGGTTTCATGAATGTTCTCAAATTACGTTGGTTTTTAATGTTTATTTGCAACAAGTCGAAAACAGTCATATGTAACAAATTGAAAAACAGTCAAAGAGAAATAGTTTCATTTTTTAGGCTTTGAATCATGTAGAGAAAAGATACTGAAGGTGTAGTTAAAGGTATACTAGCCATAACACTATGAATAGTATTCTTAGCCACATAATTCTTTTTTTTCTCCTTGTTCCTCTACTGGAAAAGAGACCAAATGGATAAATAAGATAGTCCAGTTGATCATGCCTAGCAAGAGAGATTGTATGACCTGAATTAAAATCAAAAGCTCACAAAGCTTGTTACTTTTAAAATTCAATCCCATTAGTTTAATGATCAGAATACTGGATATTATCTTTTCACTCTTTTCGTATTCTCTTAAGTAGAAGTGTATCAGACGTGTACATTTGTGTGTGCCTAGGATAATTATTAACACACATAAGAAGCAGAATTATCATGGGGTCAGCTGGAACACTTCAGATAGATGGCTTTTGCTAATTCCAGTGCCAGTTACCCATGTTCTTCTTATCTTGTGGATCACCAACTGTTGCTGGAGCAGATAAAGGCGTTCCCACACGTAGCTGCTTGTCTCATCCTGCTATCTAGAGATTATGTCCCACAGCTGGGCCAACAGAGAGTGCTTCCCCATCAGTCGTGGCATCTCCAACCACTTCCACCCTTTGAAAGTGGATGAGGATTCTTTGCAGTTCCATTCTACCCATCTGATGTGGTTGTAGTAACTTGCACCACAGGAATGTAAAAGAGTGGCTGGAGGATGATAACACTTCAAACTGCTCCACAAGTTGACAAAGCACAGAAGCTCACACAGGTGTGCTGTGGAGCGAGTAGTTAGGAAGGGTGAAAGACGGGAAGAATTCCTTGCATAGATTGTGGCACCACACGGTCCATACTCTGCATGGATGTGTTGTATTGACGAAATTGCAGACACTTCTTTTGTTTCTAAATGTTGTTTTGGCTCAGTAAAGTCCGTGTACTAAAATCCTATTTCTGCAGAAAAATGTTATGTAGTAAAATTATTGCAAATATATGGAATTAAACCAAATCTACCCATATCAGTACTTTCCGGACATGCATCTACTAATTGCCTGATAGGATTTCCTGGCTTTTTATCACATAATCTTGCTAGCAATCTGGACAAAGTCAATAGGAATAAATGTAAACCTATGATGGCTTCTTCTTTCAGGTAAGCGGTTTTCCTTAAAACAATTGCTCTTAAGATGCTTGAAACTTTTTGCAATTTATGCTGCATTAGCTTTTGACATAAAAACAAAGAGAAGCTGTTTATGCTCTTGATACTCTATCTGCCAACTGGTGTTAGAGAAATTTGGCTGCATTTTATAACACCAGTGAGTATTGTGTGCTTTGGAGAAATATGAATGATAGCATTTCACTGCATTTGCTGCATCAAATAAAATATTCATTGTCTTGTTGTAGAAGAATGTTTAAATACCATTAACTTTGTATAAATACTTAAAATTTGTTCCTTGATTCTCATGTTATTATTTCAAGAAGAATAAATTGTTAGGTAACTATAAAAAAGAAATTAAATGTAATGGGGATCAGCAAATGTTAATGTAGTAAATTAAAAGAACGATCCTTGAGCTGAGTTAGAGTAAGTTTAATTTTTTGTTAAATATAATTACATAACCAAAGTAGTTCATGCCAGCCTCCTCCTCTGTAATGTGTGTTGACTGCATGATGTTAACTTGGTTTAGTATTTTTGCTGTGTTCATTGCATGTTAAATGAATCAAGTCACCATATTAAAACTTACTTCTTATATCCCTCCTATTGTGCCTTTTTGCAAGCTATCAGTTGTTGGTGCTCAAAGTGGTGTCAACTCTCAGAAATTAATATCTGTCTTTGTAAGTTTCTTTTTATTATGGCTACCCTTAGATTCCTGTCAGCAGATATCTGCTTTTTTGCTTATTATGCAGACTCTTCGTACAGGTTTTAAAGTTCTTTCTTAATTACCTATAATTTTTATCTGAAGTACCAACCTCCCCCACATCATATGCTTTAATATAGTTCAATATTACATTGAGCTTCTTGTTGATTATCAGGCAAGAAGTTCATTCAAATAAAATTTTTAAAGATTCCTCTCTACTTTTTTGTATCTGTTTTTATATATTATACATGTTTATACAGTAATATATTTCTAAAATTCCTGAACTCTGTGAGTGTTTTAGCTTTATTTCTTCAATTAAAAAGCTGTTCCTGAACTCCTTTCTCAAATTAGGTATCTAACTTTCAATCTAATTATATTCCCATCTAATTTATGCACATTTAATTTTGTCCTGGCACTGTCTTCTAGCTTAAGTACCTTTTCCCCTTCCCAGTGTTGACCATATTTGATATTTTTATACAGTATGCCCAGTTGCTCATCAAAACTAAATGAACCAGGACTTTCTACCTTTTTGTTGTAAAATAATTTGTATATGCTAATTCATGTCAGGTCAAAGTTATCCTGCATCTTATGGTCTTTTAATTCCTTAACAGACCAGTTATTTGGTACGTTGAAAACTTTAAAGAGCAAATGAAATTAAACTTCAAGTTATTTCATCCTTGTAAAAACTGACCAACACTCCCATGAATGTGCAATCCAGTGATTGCCCATTTATGCTTTGGCAAAGAAGCTTTTATTAATAACCTGGGTAATTAAGTAATAGGAAGTGAAATAATGTTTTACCAAATGAATTTCTATAGGTAATTAAACTGTAGGGTTATGTTGGTGTCAGTGCACAGTGTTGTAGCCTGGTTCAGATAATTTGATCTAACCTGGCTCTAACTTGCCATTAAAAACGAACCAAACAAAAAAAACCACTCACCAAAAAACACCAAAGAACAAAACACCTCCACTCCCCCGAAGCCCCCAACAACAACCAAATAAAAAAACCCACATAAAATGCCAAAAATCGAGGTTTTCATCTGATTTGTTTCTCTAATGTGTCTCACTATAAGGAACAAGAGCCAGTCCTGCAGCCAAGGAGTGGAGGCAGGGCAGAACTGATGCTTTGCATTGCAGCTTGTGTTTGGTTTGTCCTTCAGAAACTCTGCTTAAACCAGTCTGGAAACTGCAGCTCCCAGACTTTGTAGAGGCAAGATATTTATCTCCATCGCAGTTTTCTAAGGACACTAATATCCCTGATACTGATTCCTGTAAGTGGTATCAGCAGGCTGGGATGTATAATTATTGAGTGAAGTAGTATAATTTAAAAAAAAAAAAAAAGAAAAAGTTGAATTTGTGGCAGAGTCCTGTATGAGTTCATTATTGTTTCTTAAGGTAAATTTTGTTGAAACCAAACCTTAAAAGGAGGGTTCACACCTCCACAATTTAGTTAAGAACCTTCAGAGAGGTACTAAACAGATTTTGGGTTGAATGGGCAGATTAATGATTTTTATTTACTAATAGAAAAATTGGTAAACAATGGCAGAGGCACAAAGCAGGTCTTAAAACCGACATAACATGACTTATAAGTTGCCAAAACAGTTTTTTAGACTTTATGGTGACCTTCAGATGGAAAACACCTATTTTATATATTCATGCTCATATTTTGATTGTTAGTGTTACCAGATTATAAATATTGTTTCTCATGTGAAATTGAACATGACTTTTAATTGTAGCTTAGACTTTGAAGTTAAATCATTGCAGCTGTCTTCAGAACTTTGGGGTGATTCCTTTTGGTATTTACAAACATCAAACTTTTGCATTTATCAGGTACTGCATACCAGAATTCAAGATTCATTAGTGTTATTATTAACACTGATTTTAAGAACATAACATTTTCAGGAATTGAAGTAGAAATTAAAGCAAACTTTAAACTTTGCTTCTGCTCTGACAGAGAGAGAGGTGGAATAATAGTTCTAGAATAAGAAAGGAACACTTTTAGAAAGTTAATGCCCTTCATTTTTAACTCTTGTTGTAAAGTATTCAAATGAGGTTTATTAGAAAGCAAGTAGAAACAAGTAATTAAACACCAGTTTTAGCCATTAATTGGTAGCTGCCTCCTGAATTTCCCAGCTGTGTTTTTTTAAATAGCTGTGATTCCTGATCCTCTCTGAAATTTCTTCTGAGATGAGCTACATGAAATATATGTAATATTCAAAAATACCCTCACCATTTTACAGCTTTTCCAAGTCAAATTTTTTATCAGGTCATGTCACCTGTATCATCTGTGTGACTGGGTGAATCTTTGATACTGTGTGTCTTGCCGAAGTCTGTGTTTTCAGTTGGATGTTTAATGCTCCATTCTGTATCATGAAACAGAATTATCCTTTGTTTTGGAACTAGATATGTGAAGCTGAACTCTCAGTGAAGCAGAATGTTATCTTTAAAAGTCTGGGCAGGTATACTGGAAACAGCATGGACAGAAAAAGGATTCTGATTATCTTTTTGTTCTGATGCTTCAAAGAAAAATAGATTGATTCTTTTCTTGTCAAGTTTAGTTTCTGGAGAATTTTAATGTAAATTAAAACTGTAATGTTTAAATATTGAGATTACTTAAAATAAAAACTTTCAAATTACATTTTAATGAACCAACTCTCAAACTTCTCTTTTGTTGGTACTTGGTTAAAGTGTTACCATGTTCTGTGAAAGTTCCTAAAGTATCTGTCCTTGGGGTGTGGATCAGACTAGTGATTTAGAGCAGTCACTCTATGGTTTATAATAGAACCGTAGAAATGTTTTCCTAAAAATAATACTGATTCTTTACTGTGCTGGTTATAGATAGCAAAGCTGAGTTTTGAGAAAATCTGAGGAGGTCCTACCCGAACAACATAATTTTACACATCTGTGAGCATATTATTTGTCCCCTTATAGCTTGATCATTCTTGTTGGGAAAACGGATCTATATAGAACTGAGGTATTTTGGCTGAAAATTCATAAATTATTTCAATATTTTAGTTGGTTTAGCATTTAAATACTGTAGCAATCTAGCAGAGATGATTGCTATATTAAGTTGGGCAGCAATTGAACACCTGCATTATGCCAAAGATTACTGAAAATAAACTGAAGCTTTGCCATTGTTTTGGCATCTCTACAGTAGTTGTACTCTGTCCTAGATTATATGTTTTGTGTTATGATGTCTTAAAAATTTACTTGCTTCATTACTTTGACAATGAAATAAGAAAAAAAAAATGGAGCTGCAAAAGGTGTTCCCATTATTGAAGGGTTTTTAGGGGCTTACTGTAGTCAGACTGGATTTGTTGTGTTTGCCAGGAGAAGGGGTGCTCACAACTTGATCAATGTAACAATATTCCTTGAGTCTCTGTAAAATGTTACCAACTATTTTAAAGTTGGTAGTATATATTAGAGAAAAATTGATATACATTTATATCTGTATAGGGAAGGAAGGTTATAATTTTCCTTTGTTTCCAGAAGATAAAAAAACCCGAAGCTTACAAATTCTTCCATCTTAAACTTTCAGATAGCTGTGGCACAGAAACTCTTGATCTGTGGACTGTCCCTATTCTTCCACATGACTATTACAAAAACTTTGCCAGTGGAATACAACATTGATGATAACTTCAGAGCTACAGCATCATGGCCTGTAAGGTTTTTCTACCTATATGTGTCTCTTATGGCTGCCAGACCCAAGTATTATTTTGCATGGACTTTAGGTAAGTACATATTTAAAAATATAGTAATAACAAAAAGGGCATGTGTTGAGTTTCATTTAAGATGCTGCACACTGAAGCATATATTAAAAAGTGGCAGTGCCCTCTTGAGGCCTTAGGAAAACCTGATTGCATTTAAGTATTCTGAGGTATTGGCAGAGTATATTCCATAGTGTCTCTCTCTCTGAGAAACAAAAGGTACCAGAAATGTAAGCACAGTGTTGCGTCAGTGTTGCAAATGAGATCTTAGTCTCCTTTAGAAGTCTGAGTGAAACTTTAGGAGTTTTGGGGGGTGGTAGTGTTTTAATGAGCAACAACTTTAAAAAATAATAATAATAAAAAAATAAATCTAGTTTATTGTACAATCCCTCTTTTTTTCTTTTAAATTTATTTTGATACCTTGATTTTTGGCATATCTGCAAAGTTAATTTTTTGTGGTTAGTAATTTGCTTGATGTTACTCAAGCATGAAAGAAAATGAATATATTGAAATTCAGATGTACTGTACTTTTGCTAATAGTAGGTGGCGTCTGCAGTACTATTTTCAGAATCTGATGGGTGTCACTTCAGTTTTAGTCTTTGTTTACTAAAAGTTTGGATGATAGGTGAGAAAACATCCTTAGTAATTGATTTAAACTTGAATAAATTATATAGTTTAAAGAACCTTTTGTGTTTCACTTCATGTTATTTGAAAAAGACCACACATACAACAGAAAAATACTTTATTTATGTAAGTTGACATCTTGGAAGTGGCTCACACAACAGGTTTCATCAGCTTCCTCCTCCTCGCCAGTTTTACATATTTGTTTCATAATTCTTTTGAGAGAGAATCTGTGGGAACAATGCAATAAAGAAAGCTTTAGTGTAGCAGAGCAGCATGACTCATTTACAGCTGCTGGTTTCATTCCTGGTCAATGAATGAAACGCTTTCAGCTTGTCTGGATATAGTAATTCTGGGGCTTGTTGTGGAATGAAATAATTTCAAATATTGTGGTCTTATGCACCCATATCAACATCTGTAAATCGTAGGAGTCATCTGAAAAATGAATAATCTTAGTTGATGGGATTTTTCCTTTAATAATTCAAATAGACTTGTCCTTATGCACTTACTAAAAGTATAGAGCTAGCATTCCTTTGGTAAAATACCAACGAAAATAAACGATGCCAACTCTGTGGTTTTAGTTTGCTAAATAGCTTTTTTTAAACCTTCTTCCTTCTACTTTGTCTCATCTAAACTTATATTGGTAGGAGTAGAATATGAGGGGGCTTTAGCAGTTTTACTGGATGTTATGCTGTTGAGTTGTACGCAACTTCAGAAAAAAATTTCTTAATAAAATAAATTACTTTAAAGAAATATTTACTAAAATGGTTGTGAATAAAATGAGTAGTTACTCTAGCTGTAGTCTTTGTACTTTAGCTAGCAAAAGAGCATGGGATTTGTGTCTTCAGCTGTTTCTAATTGAGCATAAAAGCATTGCTTAATATTTGAAGTTGACATCAGTGACATCAGATGTAGGGCAGCAGATTTTGTTGCTTTCAAAGATTTTTTTTTTTAAATTTTCACAAGAAAATAAAAATATTATAAATTACCCTATATTCAATGAAATGTTACAAAGCCCTTTTCCAAACTGGTGGATAACAGGAAAAACTGAACTTCAGGAAAGAAACCGTTTGTGTGTTTGAGTCAATTGTTTCTTATACTTTCCAAATACACAACATTAATACTTTCAAAAAGTTGTTGAGAAGACAGGAAATTACAGAAGATACAAATTTTTCTTAACATGTGACTATTGTATGAAGTAAATTCTTTTCAATGTGGTAATAAAACCTGTGCAGTATCTCCCACATTCCTGGCTGTAATTGAAAAGGTCACAATCTAATTACAGTGCTTTAGATGAATTCTGAGCTAACAGAGAGGGCCCTGTAACTAGAGGACTAGATCTGTATGGCTTCTGCAGAGCCTTTTGCCTACCTTAATTCCAGTTCCTCAGGACTCCTCTGACATGGTAGAAGGGCTGGCATTCTTCTGCCCATGGTCCCTTAGTGATCCATGTAGGTGGTTGGGTTCATGCCTCGTGGATGTGTGTCCATGTTTGGGTGCATTCCACCAAGCGCCTGGTTCAACAGAGGGAATACTTGGGAAAAAAACCCATCTCATTTCCTTGCATGTGGCCATCCTAATTTGAACAGCTGAGGAAATTTTAATGTCTGAGCTAACAAAGCTCAAGCAAAAGTAATGACTGAAAGGGGCAGGCAGCAGAGATCCCTTGGATTTTCCTGCAAAGTCTGGATGACAGCAGTGCTTTTTCTCCTAGGGAAAAACATTGTTTGCTTTGAACTATCTGACCTTTGACGTGCAGTGTAGACACTTCACATTCAGAGGTGTTAACAGTGGCCTTGTTCCATTAGTGGAAGTTTGACAAATTCTGCATCACTTAAGAAATTACTGTTTTCTTTTGTTAGGGTTGCACTGCTCTGCATGGGGTGCTGTGAATGTGCACCTGCTTGAAGGGAATTGTGCAATTTTATCTTTATGCATTAAACATTGCTGTTGCTGCATAGTGAAGACCAAAGACACGCATCTGAGCGTTGAGCTGCTGTCTCAAATCATTACAACCAGATACTGTTTCATAGTCTTGATGCATCTTATTAAGTTTGTTTTTCTGTCAGATTGCTCAAGCAAGTCTAAGTAGGTGCTATGAGAGAGGGAACACCTGTACTGTGAAGTAGATAGTGCTACCTTTCATTCTTATGCTTTTGTACAAGTTTTTGAATTGAAATCCAATATGTTGCTTGGATTGTTTTCTGTTTGTTCAAGTGATCCTCAGTATTTAAAAGAAAAAATAAATGTAGCCTTTAAGGTGTGATAAATACTTTTAACAAACTACATGCTGTGTGATGCACAATTTGTAATACAGGCGGTTTATAATTAATTTGTTTCTTTTTGTTTCTTTGCAGCAGATGCAATTAATAATGCAGCAGGGTTTGGTTTTAGAGGCTATGATAAAAATGGAGTTACACGTTGGGATCTAATATCGAATCTGAGAATCCAGCAAATAGAGGTTTGTTTCTGGCTCTTTTAAAAAAACCCACATGCCCATGTAGGTAGTTGTTTGTAATTTCAGTAACTTTCCCGACGCATTTTGTTCCTTAAGGTAGTGAATATGTTTTAAGTCAGAAATGATATGTTCACATCCTTAGGAAAGGATGGAAAATAGTCTGTTTTGAACATGTTCTACTTGTCAGTTGACTTCCAAAATATTTTGTGGTTATAAGTAGTTGAGCAAATAACTTATTCAACTCATCACAAAATGGGTGGGGGAGGGTTTATAGTTTATACATGAGAATTTTGAAACACTTTATAACACTTTATGATTGTAGAAATAATTAATTTGTTTTACTTTACAGTTTTCCACAAGTTTCAAGATGTTTCTTGATAACTGGAATATCCAAACAGCTCTTTGGCTCAAAAGGTATTTATTTCTTAAAGGAAAGCTTTTTTCCACTGAAGTTTCTTAGATGAATATTTCTTTGAAGGTGATGTAACATTTAAAGCTAAAACCCCACAAAACATCAGTTGTTTAGCAACTCCACAGGACATTCTTCTTGTAATACTTGAATTAAAGCCTCTGAATTTAAGACTTCACTCTTAGTGTAGACTATCAGGTTATGACAGAAACAGTTTGTCTTCACTGGCCAAAGGGAACATAAAACTGTTAATCTGTGGAGGCGTCTTTTTTCCTCTCTTAGCATTCAAACCAGTGCATGTTGCTGAGAACAGCAGGCAAAACCTGCATCTCAGCCTGTGAAAGCTCTGCATTATTTTTAGCCACATAGTGATATAGGAACTTCCATATGTTTTGTGAGAGATCTTTCTGTGCTCCTTCCATTAAGAGTTGCACAAGAGACATCAAACCCTACAATGTGCTGTCAACAGAAATTGCACATATCCCTCAGCTGCACTCTTTCCTTGTCTGGGAAACAGGTATAGTGTCCTGTGAACTACATCTTTCTACTTCTTTGTGGTAACTAGAAAGTAAAAGTGTTCCTGAGTAGCATGTGGGTGTTGTTTCCCTTCTTCCAGTCTGTTGAGTTGGATCTCTATCGATAGGTGCAAGTTTGAGACCCTTATCTTGGGATCACTCAGAGGACTTAACCCCTTATTCTAAGATAGCTGGCAACAGAATGTTTCTTCCATCAAATTTCTTCATAGTGTTTTATCTTCCTTTCATAATTTCATCCCTAAATATTTTGCTGACTCAGTTAAAAACAGAAATTGAGTTTTATGTGGTTATTCTGGTTGGCTCAATGGTCAACAGGATCTATTGCTAAGACAATGAACAAAGAAGAATTGCATGTTTGCAGGTATTGAAATGTATAATTTAATAAAGAAAATAAGTTATCTAGCTATTTTAATTTAGTTAGAGAACAGAAATTTAATACAACAGGAAAAGGTTGTATTTCAGCAAACTTTCAAATCTCCTAGAGTGATTCTAAAGAAACACTCTTATTAGTGAGGAAGCATAACACTTCTGCTAAGAATTGAAAGAAAAAAAATTCAAATCAGTTGCTCAGAGTGACAATAAAATAAGATGTGAAGAAAAATTAAAACATCTTTAATAAATATTTTTAAAACAATAGTAGAAGAATCTTTGAGGATAGTCTTAATCTTTTAGGATAATCTAATTTTATTCTGCCACAGTGAACGGGAGAAGAGTGGATGTTTTCTGGAGGTTTTGTTGCAAGTAAGATTGTTTTAATTGATTGTATATGAGGTCCATAAATAGTGTTAGAGAATATATATTATATTACTAATAATTTGGTTGGTTGCAATGCTACCACAATTAGAGTGGAGGACAAGCTCATGTATTACTTTAAACATCCACTTTTAATACCTCACCTTTTTACCATTTATAGAAGTACCTAAACTGTTAGCCATTTATCTCACATGAAATAGCAGACATCAGCATTTGTTCTGTTTTTTTTCTGATACTCTCTAAAGCAAAACTGAACCACCAGAATCACAGGATTTAAACCCTGATTGTGTGTAAAAACAAACTCCTCGTAAAAAACACAGTTAATGGAGCTACAGATCACAAAGAATTTTAGTAAACGTTTAACATAGATCATAAGATATAGCAACTCAGAGGTGTTATTGTTACAAGGATGCAAGTTAAAATAGATGTTTACATGGCAGCATATATCAACAATACATACCACGATAGTGTTTCCTGACTGGGAAAGCTGTTACATTCCCCCCTCAGCCTGTTCACTCTCTTTTCCGAAGAAACCATCTAATGCCATTTGTCTTTGGTCATGTTTACAAAACTTTTCTGGTTCTTGTTACTTGATTCTGACCTCTTTCCAAACTTCCTGTCTTCTTAGAGTGGATGTAGTACTTCTGCTAAGACCTTCAAGGTCTTTCCCTGGCTTGTTACAGGCTGAGTTGAATAATTTGACTGGATTATTTGCCATTATTTTCTGTAGGTAATACTGTGATGTATTAGGAAGAGTGTTATATCTGTCTTTTTTTGCAGCAGCAATCTACTGTTGATTCATGCTCAGCTGATATTCAGTGTTTCATACTGTTGATTCATATTCATACCCAGCTACGCTTTTTCAGGAATGTTACAGGAATGGTACTGTTTTGTATCTTCCACTTTTCTTATTAGATGTTCTATGCTTTGGACTTCATCTTGTTGATTTCAGAACATCCTTCAAGTCTATCAAGATCATTTTGGATTCTAGTGCTATATCGGCTAAGAAAACAATGCCAATCTCGTCCATCCCACCTTCCACCTCAAAAAAGGAAGGGAAGACAAGGTGGAAAAATGTACTTCTCAGTTTACCACCCAAGTTAGTAATGAAAATATAGAACCAGACAAAAGGCAGTACTCTTCTTGAACAGTTGATGCATCCTCCCACTTCTAGAGCAAATTATGGATAAGATAACCTGAACCACCTGTATTTGAATGTATTTTTAAAACCTGTTGTGATGACCATATTTCCTTGGTGTGTTTTTAGGAATGTCAAATGAAGCATTTGAACATGATTTATTATTATCAAATCCATGGAAGAGTTTAAGTGTACTTTTTACTCTTTGAAATTGAAACCTGATGATTTTTTGTAGTATATCGTACCTGACTTGCATTGATACAGCTGAAATTTGGTTAGTTAATTTGGTTAATTAATTTAGTTAGTTTTGTTAGGTCTTGAATGCTTTTCAGGGAACTATTTCAGTAGTTTAAACCAAATAAAGATTGAAGCCATGTATCAGTTTATTAATGAGACATAATTAACCACTGCTCAGTAAAATATATGTTCAGAATTAATAGCAGTACTAGAACAGATAACACTTTGTGTGTGCTTAGTGCTCTGGTTTAATAAACATTTCTAAACCCTCTTCTGTAACTAATCCCGAGCAGTTTAAAAAGCACACATGTACGCAGACAGTTACGTGCAAACTGCACCTCCTCTCCCAAGGACACATGGGATGCAAACCCACACCTCCTCCTGGGAGTCTGGGACCCCTGCTTGTATGCACTACCTGTGGGAGATGTGAGTGCTCTAGCTCGCTGTGAATCTGCTGATTCACATGCCCATTAGAAAAGCACCGCCACAAATTCCTGTACCTGCAGCTGACAGGGATGAGATCCTGCTCCCTGGCATGGCACACTGCACTGACAGTCCCCTGCCTGGGTGCAGGGATGCTACTATGTCTACCAGGGATGCTCTGTCTTGGCTGAGACAGAGGTCATAGTGCTGGTGGGGTGACATCTGGCAGTGTCAGCCAGGTTTTGGTGACTGGTATTTTGCTCCAAGATGTCTCCCTGACTCATCACAAATTTTCCTAAAGCTTTTGTACTTCTGAGGCTGACAGATTCTTTGTCCAAAATGTTTCTTTGAAATTCTATGTTTACTATTTAGCCTGGCCCAGTGCTGCTTTTGTCTTTAAGGTGATGTACTTGGGGCAAATGTCCTCAGATAGTTTTGTGTATTAAGCATGCAAGCACCTGCCCTCCACTTAGCCCCACTTTCTCATCTTATTGGCCATTGTGAGTGAAGCCCTTTGGCAGGAGGAGAGGGTTGTGCTCATATCCTGCACTGAAGATCTCATAAGATAAAAGTTATCACATCTATTTGACTGGAATAAACTAAATTAGCAAAATACACTTTTGATCTTTCCCTATTCAGATGCTGTCTTTTTGCCTTCTGCTCTTCAACATTGACTGCATCAGTAGGTCTCAGTAATCTTTTGTATACATGGAAGTTGTAGTAAAGTAGCTAGATTAGTAGTGACTGTTTCAGCCCTCTGTATCATTAGCTTGTCATCTTCTTTAAATAATAGACGTGAATTCTCTTCTTTTTTTCTGTTACTTGCTATGTGGTTACAAAACCTTTTACATATTGGTGTCTATGGCCTTTTTAGTTAAAACTCATTTTGTGTGTTAGCTATAGATTTGTGTTCATGCATGGTTGTGGTGTTTATTTTTGCTTCATGTTAGTTTGTATCTGTTTCCATATTTCCTATTGCTTTTTGGTTTTCAGATCATTAAAGACATTAAAGAAATCTTGGTGAAGCCATATCAGGACCTTACCATGTTTCCTATCATTCTTCCACATCATGATGGTTTGTCATTGTGTCATATAATGTTGTCTTCTAGAAAATATCTTTCTTGGATTCCTTTTTCCTTTCTTTCTTCTAGAATTCTTTACTGTAGGACCTTGGCTAATAGTTCAGAGTCTCAATTTTTAATTAATAGAGTTCAGCATTGTCCTTATGTGATACTCTTGCAACACTAGAGTATTTATTACAATTTCATCATCATGCTCACCTAATTGTGTCACACAGACATATTTTCAACTCTAATCTCTTTATTATTCAAAATTGAAGGGAGTAGTTACTTTTCCCATTCTCCTATAGGCTGCTTTCATTTTGTGAAAAACATGTATCTGACTCATTGCAAGAGTCTCCAGGGTTGTCTGCACCTTCCAGTGTAGCTTTTCAAACACATTATTGGATGGCTCAAGATCCCTCATTAACACCAACACCCATCTTTGGATGATTGTGTATCCCTTCATTATGAATAAGTACCATGTGTGATGGCACTGAGCACAGGTTTGCGCTGAGGGCTTAACTGGGAGCTGTGAATAGCTCTAAACATTTTCTGTAAGTCATAATACAGTGGCAATATTATTAAATAACAGGAAATTGCAATTGCATTCAAACTTCTGTGTTGGAGATGCAACTGGTAAAAGTAAAAAGGATGACTGAGAAGATTGTGAGTGACTTGTGTTATTTATCTTGAATTGTTTTTGACTTGCTAGAGTGTGCTATGAGCGAGCCACCTTCAGCCCAACGATCCAAACCTTCATCCTTTCTGCCATCTGGCACGGGGTTTACCCAGGATATTATTTAACATTTTTAACAGGAGTACTAATGACACTAGCAGCACGAGCTGTAAGTACCAACCAAATATCTTCTTAAATAATATGTTTTGTAAAAGAAAATTGATCATATTCTGTGGTCCAAAGATGCCCTTTACAGTTTATACACAATCTGTCTGATTGGGGTGTTTACTTTTTTCGGTTAAGAGAGCAATGGGAATGATTAGATGTAAGGAAGGGTTGATTGGTGGAAACAAAGAAGGCTGTACACAGCCTATAACATCTTTGTAGCATATCTTTTGTGGAAGCTCTTCCTCTGTATTAACTGATCCTGTGTTACTGGCATAATGAATAGGTTGATGTTATCTAAGATAATTTTGAAGAAATCACTGATGATGAGTAGCTTGAAATGTGGATGTTAATGCTATATATTATAGAGTCTTCCTCCTCCCTAATTTCTGTCCAGTACTAGTGTAAAGGTAGTAACTAAAGAATGCTCCCTGTCAAGCAGCAGATAAAAATCTCTAGTGCAGCTACCATTTCAAGTTGGCCAGCCAGCAGTGCAGTCACATTAACAAGCTTTTGTGGCTGCTACTCAGAACCATATGGAACCAGCAAATCTGCCAAGAAATCTCACAGTTCTGCTTGAGAAAGCTGTGTAAGAACAGAGACAGGTTTATCAGTTACTCAGTGGAAAAGAGGAACAAATTACATGTCAGAGCAGCATAACTGACCACATTTTTCGTTGAAAGAACCAGGAAAATAAGAAATGAAGCAGACTGCTCTTTGTTGCTCTAATAGCTAGGGAAGGTGGTATTTCAGACTTTGGTTGTTTCTACAGCAATAAAACAGATGCTTCTCTTTCTTCACAAGCTGAGGGGACAGTCCTTGTTTGACAGAACTGACTCCTTTCTTTACAATAGATGTAGCTTTCTTCTTCTTCCAGACTATCACAGGGAACTTTTGACATTTATCAGCCAGGGGCTGGTGCAAAAGCCAAGGTTCTGGGACAGTTCTCAGGTAAAAGTCATTTACTCAGTGAGATGAGTCCAGTAAATTGGAGTGTTCACTGCACTTCATCCTGAGCTTCTCTAGTAAGGTGTGTTGTATTCACATTTCATATGTATCAATTAATAGGCTAGTAAAAAAATTAATTTGAGTTTCTGTATTAACAGGTACTTAATATTAACTGCTAAGATATATTAGAAGTACTTCAGCGTAGTCATTATTTAACTCTATTAGCCTTTAACTGCAAAGTGTGGTAGCTTTGGTCTACACTTTGTTCTGTCATGCCTAAGCATGTATTCAATTTGTTTTACCTCCTTTAGTCATTACACATTTCAGAATCAGGTATTTACTAGGGGCAATTGTAGATTTGTGTTTAAAGTTGTCCTTCAAGTCCTAAAATACAAGATTTCTCTACAAGAAATTCTGTGAAGCTTCATCTGAATTCTACAGAACTCAGGAACAAGTCATTGCATGTGACCATAGGAGGAAACTGGGCGGAGATTAGGATGAAGGGTATGTGGCCAGAATGACTTGTTTTACTTAACTTAACTAAGCAAAGGCTGAGTGGCAATGCTGTATCTACAAGGCAATTTGGGTAAGAACAAGAAGAGTAAAGAAAGGTTTTAATGTAAAGAATTAAATCAGCAGGAGCTAGCCTTGGGTATGTTCTTTGGAAAAAGGAGTTCTAAAGAAATGGAGATTTGAAGGAACTAAACTGTGCACTTTGGTGCTGCATTTTTGCTTCAGTGCAAGTGACTGGGAGGTGGAAACTGTGATACCAAGCTTACAGAGGCTGAATGGAGCCCATCTTGGCTTCTCAGCAAATAAGATTTAAAGCAAGGATGATAGTTCAGTCAAAGGAAGAAAGGACAAAGATTTACTGGTGTCTTTTAACTATAGACTTAAATAAAACTGAACCCAAATCTGTGTGGGTTTTGGATTTGGATTTTGTTCAAATACCTTTGTTGTTCTGTTGTTTGAACAGAATTTTACAAACAAAAGAAGACAGCATAGAAAATTGAGTCAGTTTATATCAATCCCACTAGATAGTAGTTGTTATTAAGACTCCTGAAATATATAATTAGAACTGATATTTTGTATATTCTAATTTATAGAATTATATTATTTATTCTGATTTATACCCTGCTTGTCCTAAAATATATCTTATAACAAGTATATGAAAATGACTTACCATATAGAAGCTTTTATCACGATTCTGGCTTTCATTTATTGCAACCCTCTATATTTATAGAATGCCTTGAGAGAATAGAGTTGTCCTGATTCAGACAACCAGTGCAAAGTTGCATTGGGTTTTATGGAGGATTCATTTATTTAAATTCTGCTTAAGTTGATAAATACTTAAATTCCTGTGTTGGATGAAGAGCAGGGAATTTGAACTGACTCCTGTTGAAGCTGATGGGCATTTTGAGTAGTTCAAAGATATTTGACCAAACTGTAGCATTTCAATTCATCCTATGAATTTTGTGTCAATGCAACAAACTCTGAGCTCCCAAGGTTTATTCCTAAGCTAATTTTCTATTACCTGCTTTTTCAGATACGAAACAATATCAGACACTATTTTGTTGAATCTCCTGCTGTTAAAGTGTGTTATGATATTATAACATGGATGGCAACTCAAATAGCAATAAGTTACACAGTCGTGCCATTTGTACTGCTCTCTGTAAAACCCTCTTTCACCTTTTACAGGTAAGCACATTCTACCTGTTTCCTTTTCTCTAACTTGAAATAGAAGTGTTTTCTGCAGTGTAAGATTTTCAAAGCTATTGTAATCATAATTATAAAATTGATTTGTTATCTGAGTGGACTGTATTTCTGTTCCACGTGCTCGAACGTGGTGTGTGTTGCGTATGAAAAACCTTAGAGTGCTTTCATTTTGCTGTCGTATTAGACTTATTTTTCCTGGGGCAGGGAAAAAAACCCAACCAAAAACAAAACCAGAGGGTACCTTAGAGATTACTATATGCCCTTGAATTATTTTACAGCAAGACTAGATATTGACTTCCCAGAAGTAACTTGTGATAAAAAGTAGAATGCAAATTTCTATTCACTTTATGTCTTCCTACAGCACTAAATACTGTAAGGGAGGACTTAATTTCTGATTTCCCCCTTATTTTACTTTTCTTAAAGGAAATATTAATGTTTTCTTATCTTAAATTCGAAGTATGCAAGTAGGTTTTGACAGTTTATTCCTTAAGTATCCTGTAAGAGTGGTGAAAGTTTTATTGAATTATTATTTCTCTTTGTTTTTTAGCTCCTGCTATTTCTGTCTTCATATTGCCAGCATTCTGGTGTTGTTGGTATTTCCGTTGAAAAGAACTCAAAAAGGAAGTAAAAAGCATGAAACCATCCAGCCTGTGTGGTCCAAAACACTAGAAGAAGAAAATCTTTTGCAAAAGAACAGTTACTCCACAACAAATAATAGTTTCAGTCAGAAACAAGAAATAACCTGCAGATATCAAACATTAAAACAGTGATTAAGGAAATACTATGATGAATATATTTTGTATGTTTTCAGAAACCCATTTTTAGCACCTTTTAAAGGGGTTTGTATTTGTTTGCAAAGATGTTTAGTAAGAAAAGAATGCATTACCTAGGAAAATCACATACAATAGCAAGACTGGAAACAAAACAAATTAACCCCTCCCATGCCATGTCCCTGTGGGTCACGCCTTATATGAAGATGTTACCATTATTTCAATGGGCACTCAGGACTTGCAACGTATGTCCATAGGGTCATATGTGTGCCCTTTGCTGAATGTACGTTGTGTATCCCAAGGCACTGATGGGGTGGAATAAAATTGTGTCAATCTAGGATTAACAAATGGAAAATGATTTTTCCAAATGAATGACTTGCCTTAAACCCTCTATTTACTGAAATATTGTTTCTAAGTGGGTGTTTTCAAGTTTGATTTTACATGGAAAGCGCATTTCAAATATATAACACTATATGCTATAACGAAGATAAAAATAGGAAATGCAAAGTCACTAGAAGGCTTTTGAATCCTTAAAAGGGAATTGCAATAAGCATCTCAGTATTTGGAGGGTTTTCTTAAAGTATCTCAAACTATTACAGTACATTACAGAACTGTAAACATTGATGCCAAATTATAGTTAGGTTTCTTTCATAAAGAGTACAATTACTCTGAATGGATTAAAATGGCCCTTCTGAACAGATTAAAAACAACTCAAGGTTCACCTTTTCCAGGGCTTGATGGCTCTAATATAGTTTCCTTTTATTTTAAAGTACCTAAACCCAATAAAACACTGCCAAGTGGGCTTTGCAGCTAGAGGAGAAAAAGTGGCCGTAAGGCACAGAAGACAACGTGCAAGCACTGGGATTTCAGTGAAAGTGTAGTTTTGCCCTTAAATACCAGAAATACTTGTTCTAGAATAGAACTGTTTTTACAAAACGTGATTTTTAATACTTAAAGTTATTTTGAATTTTCAGGCATCAGTTAGTTGATGATGCTTTCAGTATAAAATAGCAAAATTACCTTGAAACTCCAGCGTGTAGGTAGTCAAATATGAAATGACTATCATAACCAATTTCTATATGCTTGATAATTGATGGTCCTTTATCCAAAGAAGTGTATGAATTTGAGGAAAAGTTTTTTCTTTAAATTTTAGATGCAAAGTTCATATCATATTTGTGGGTAACCTAATAGAAGAAAGAAATCCTTCAGAATATCTGACCTACTGAATCATGGAAGTGTGTCAAGGAAACAATGCAGTGGTTATGTCTATTCCAGACCATTTATTGTGATGATGGTCACTGCTAGAGTACTGCTGTTAAAGGGCTACATTTTAATTGCTTATATTCTATATTTTCTTATAATTTTTTTAAGTAAACTCAAACTGTTTATCCACATGGGGTTTACTTTTAATTTTAAACCAGACACAAAATACTACCGGAGAAAAATAATGCAGCTTGTTGATTAATAACTAGCAGTGAGTGAGAAAAATGTTGTAATATTTTGAACCTTAAATTTTTCATTGAATACTTAGGACCAGTCAGATGAATATTGTTAATACTAGAAGTGCAATGATGGTCCTCAGCTTTGGGGATACAACCATGCAAAAATTGTCACAGTACTTCTGGTGTACTCTCAAAGAACCAGATCCTGAGTTTGGTCAGAGTTGTTTCTGTGCTGCCATAGTTCTGTATCTGGCCTTTGGCTCCTTGCCTAAAATTCCAGGAGGAGGATAACATACTTTTCCATATATATAGGTTAGCACTAATTAGTCTACACAGTTAGGAAGGGGAAACTGAATATTAAATGAGAGCAAATGAGTCTGTTTAGATGAGCAGGGATGTTCATTGTTTCAGTGACAGCTGTATTATCTTTAAGATAAAATAATCTGATTTCTAAATCCTTACTTTGATTGCCCAAGTAGACTTCCCCTTACATGGGGTCATGGTTATCATATGCCTCTTTGAAACCACATTATGCTTTTCTTGTTAATAATAAGGGAACACTAGTTTATTTTTTGGTCATCCTTATTAGATACAGAATCAGGAAAGACATTTTTTTGCTTTCTGTACTTGAAGGGATATTTACATAAGAGAACAAATAAGAATTGCAAATATCTGGGTGGGTAAGTAAAATTGGGGTTGATTCTTTCAGCATTTGTTACTGTTGAACTTAAATTCATCTTGTTGGTTCAGTCTCCGTATCTACCCAAACAAACACTTTTGGATGCCAGTACAACATCCAGTGTGCCGTTTTTCTGTTAATGTTCTGGTACTCTTGTTTTCTTCTTTTGGCATGTGTGCAATGGAGGCTTACTAATTCTTCTTAATGAAATATGAAAACAGTAGTAAACACTCCCAGAAAATAAGCAGGTTTAGGATAGTGCAGGCTTGTGTGTGACTTCAGTGTGAGTCAATTCACAGGTACAGTTTCGTTCAGAACTTTTGTATTTAGGGAAGTTAAAACAATCAAGAAAATATGTTCATGCTTTTGTTGGGCACAGGTGGCAAGATACATGTTTTAAACTTGGACATGACTTTTTTTCTTCACTATTCGAACCCATTAAATAATTGCAGTGCAAGAAAATTATGGCAATTAATTCTGCACAGAATTTAAGTGTACTGTCTTAGAATTTACCCTTTAAATGTAATTTCTGAGTATAAAAGTACTTTGAACCAAAATCTGCTCTTCATGTAAATGAATTCTCTTGGGGACTATGGAAAGAGGCGTTTTGTTTTAATGGCAGCACTCTGATTTTAGTCAAACTGGGGTTTTGTTGGTTTTGCTTTCCTGCTGCTTTACTCATTTTCTGCCTTGCTGTTGCACTGGACCCTTTTTACCCACTCAGTCAGAAAGTCAAGAGCAGCCAGCCACGATGCTTTAGATAATTTTTAGGTTTTACACACATCATTTGATAATACTGCATTTGAAAGGATGGTGGTGGTTTACTATTGTTCTTCCTGAGAAAAATTGTAGAAAGTAAATTTCCTATGTATGTTTTGGGCATGAAGGAAACATGGCTTAGTATTCTTTCACTTATTAACTAATTTATATCCAAAAGGTAAAAGTGTTTTCTGTATTGCAGATCAGCACACTATGAAAAGTAAATACAACATATCATTCATAATTTTATGGTGCTTTGCAGATATTTGCCTATTGTGAACAGTTCATTCAGGCACTTAATGAGTTAATGTTAGTTAGTAAATGTAGTCACCCTGAGAGTAACTATTTGCTTGCTTAACCTTTTTTAACCTTTATAATTCTGTATTAATGAAAGAGATATATATTACATATTTAAATAATACTTTTGGTGGTGCCCACTACTGTTTTAATCAGAAGCTTTGTTAGCTCTGCAGTTATAGGTATGCCCTTCTTATTCAGGAAACTTATTCTTCTATGGCCATTCCTTAAGTTGACATGTAGACAGGATTTCAATAATTGGTGACATTTAAAAATATGCTCTTGATAACAAATCATACTTTAGTGAGAAGACTATGAAGAGATCTTTGTATATTCCCTGCTCTACACTGTCATATTGTATCAGTTTTACCAATATAGTATATTATTTATTAGAAGAATTTTACACTTAAAGAACTTGTTCTGTTTGCCCTAGGGAAATAAGTAATGTGAATATTAATGGTAGGCTTGTATGACAGGATGCACACTAGGTAGTTTTGCCTCTTTCGATGGCATTTATTTGATTAGTGGTAAAATGTCCTCTGATGCAGAGGAGACGTTTGAGATCCTCACCTCCCGTCAAATTCACATCAAAAGTAATTTTAACAGAGTCTAGATTTTTTTCTCAGAAGCTTTGCAAACAAATTGTTGACAATTTGTTTAAATACATGGTCAAATGTGTCTTCACATTTGCCTGCAAATGTATCACTGTTGCTTATATGTAAACTTTCACATGTTCAACTTTATAAGTTGGCCTTGAATGATAAAGAAATTTAAAAGCACAAGTGACAATAATTTAGGCTTTCATTTCCCTTATCCTTAAGTCTTTCATTTGTTATTCTCATTGACTTCTGAAATCAGGCTTGAAAATTTTTCAGTTTCAGTGAAAATTTTGAAATATTACCATCCGTGTTGAAAAGTGATCAGTGTTAGAAAAACAGATGGAAATTAATTTAAGGATTTTAATATGATGCAGACTCTATGTATTAAAAAATACACATTGTTTCTGTGCTGATTCATCACAGCATTTCACTACATTATTAGCGTTTATATATTTATTTAGATCAAATAATACTTTGAGCAGCCCTTGGGAGTATTTTTAAATTTTCCTGTTTAAAAAATCAATTGGCAGTAAATACTTAAACAAGTATTATATGCTGTTCTGAATAAGTATGTAAGCAGATGCTCTAGTGAATTGAGCCTACTCTCATAAGATTACTGGATCTGTCTGGATCTCACCTAGCTTGCACTGTCAGTCTTCACTTTCTTCACAGTCATGGTGGAAAAGCTGGCAGTGGAGAACATGTCCCGTCTGTGGCTGGAAGGGTTTGCTACACAATTCCTGTGAGGAGCTAACCCTCTGTGCAGAGCTTGGCAGAGATTCTACTTGCTTGTGACCTAGCCTGCCACTGCTCAATGCTACATCTATCTGCATTTTTGATGTGTTTGCTGTCTTAACCTAGACATTTAGCAAACACCATGAAATCCAGGCATCCACAAAGTCGCCCTGCAAGGTTACAACTGCAAATATCGCAACACTTGGTTGTTATGGTCAAAATGAAATGAAAACAAAATTTCTTAAAGACTTGTTTTGAGATGAGCTTTTTGTAGGTTTTTTACAAAATGTAGCCATCAACTGTATCAATTTTCATCTCATTAAATATTTAAAACATAATTTGCTCAGTTTAGGTATACAAATTTGCAAAAGCAAATTTTGCCGCTTCATCACTGTCTGTGCATTAGTTGTGTGTCCAGTGACTTAGCCCCCGTTTTGGTTTTAGATGGTTTTAGATTTTCTAAACCCATGTACATATCCATATAATTTGTGTAAACTTTGAGTTGACAAACTGTAGTTACATACAGCGTGCATAAATACACTTAAAATAAGCTATATCAATATTCAGATGAGGCTGGTGTTGAGCCCTCCAGTTGTACATTACATCTGAAGGCTGTGGGGCTCTGTTCTCAGACTACTAAGCTTTCTGCTTCCTAAGGTGAAAATAGAATCTGTTGGTTACACTAAGTGGCAAGGAAAAGGGTTCTTTCATTCTGTTGCAAAACCAACCTTTACAGGATATTCTCCTTCAGGCTATGAATAGAAATCTTGACTTCAGACTGAGATCTGAGATAGGGCCACATTCAGAGGAAATTTTTTATATTAGTAGTGACTCAGTCCAGCACCTTACTCCAAACACCTCCTGGCAAAACAGACCTCTTCACAATCTTCTTCCTTCCTTTCATTCTCTAAGGGATAAATACCCCAAGCTAGATTTCTTCAGGTTTCACTGCAATATGTCATATGAATAGGTAGCTGTGGTCCATGCTCTAGTCAGATTCAAGACTGGGACAATATAATCTGAAATGAAAAGCAGAGAAACAGGGTGCCTAGAGACCAGTAATTGGAATAGTGCAACACTACGTATTAATGGTGCAACAATTGTCACAATAAGTTAAGGAGTATTTGCCTATGCATCTTTTGCCTTTTGATGTGTTTATCAGTTCTCTTTACATCTTTTCTTTGTATCTTCTTTTGTCCAGTGGTATTGACTATTTCTATGAAGAATCTGCTGATGTGTCTTACTGTGACAAAGGTGTCAAAATGCTACAATAGTAATTAGGTAGTTATTCTTAAATCCCAGACCTCAGATGTGTTCTAGATCAGTTAGAAGAGAACATTCAAAATGTATTGGGTGAAAAATAGTGTAAGATGGGTAAACATAGCATTATTCAAAGATGTTGTAATAAGTTATTCAATTTAAGAATTTAAAATATGGAACTTTGTTCTTTCCTGCCTTGGTTACACATTCAAGGGAATAGTTTTACCTCAATGCAGAAGTAGTTATGCCTCCAACCACCCGTATGTTAAGGTGAGAGAACACCCCTAAAAAGTGGATAGCTACAGTGTTCCTAAATTTGCCTTTCCTGGTTCAGATTATAATACATTGTCGGTGAATTTCATTTTTATTATTCCAAAATATATATTTTTTAAAAAGTGTTATTTTTCAACAGATCCATAAACTAAGTGTTGGTGTATGGTAAAATTAAAATACCACTGTTAGTTACACTGTGATTGTGATATTTTAATAATTACTTATTTCTAATTTGTCTCAGCAGTGCTGCAGAAGCAGCATGCTGTTATGTTTTAAAGGTGTTTTTAACTTGCCTATAAATGTTTTTTTCTAATTTGTGTCTTTAAATCTGATTAAACTGTAGTTTAAAAGAAAAGTTTGTTTTTGTCTAAATTCTTTGGTGTCTGTCTTTAATGAGTAGTAAAGAACAAAATTATTTTAATGCGGTTTCTCCTTTTAATTACTAAACATACACTGCATGCATTTACACTGTTATTTGGAATGTTCTACTTCAAAACTGGTTTTATTTAATTTGTTTTCTAGAGCTCATATACAAGTATATGTATATAATTATTTTCCAGTAGAGCTGGTAAATAAAATTTCAAGTCTAGCCTCTTGTTACTTGGGAAAGATACTTAAGCAACTTTCAACCCTCCATCTCGGAGTATATTGCTGCCTGACAAGCACTAGTTCCAGAAATGACCAACTGGTGTATTTTTAGCTTCAGAAATGGAAACCTCATAACTGAGAAATCAAATTCAGTGTTTTGAAGAAGCTGCTGCTTTGATTGATGGTTCCAAAGAAGCAGGGCTAAATGGGTACCGTACATGCACTTTTTTTTTTTTTTTTTCTTTTTGAAACTTGACTACCAGGACTCTGCTAAGGCAGTTTCTGTTGGCTGGTGACAGGATGTTAAAGCTGACTGAGACTTCTTGACCTGCAGGTTTTTACCATGTGTGCTTAGATTGTTAGAGAAAAGAAGGGATATCATATATCACTATTGAACTATATGACTATATATCACTATAACGCTATTAAATAATTTTTTCTCTTTTCTTGATCTGGTATTAATTCTGCTTCTGTACAAACCTTGTAAAACCAATGTTTTTGAAGACATCTTTACAGAGATCTGTTTCTGCCTTTACACAGATCTGTTTCTGCAAGGAGTCCTACCCTAGAGGAATACTGGAATGTTTGTGTTGTTCTCTTGAAAGGCCCTACTGAAGCAATGGTATTTTTAAGCCTTGTGTGTTCAGAATTCTTGGACAAGCTATATGCAATTTTAGAAGCTCTGGTGATTTGTGTCATTCTAACCAGAAGTTAGACTGGAATAGAATTTGCGTTCACAAATAAACATTCACAACAGAGTCGGTCAGGAGTATGAAGTGTCTTCATGAACCAAACGTTCCTGCATTTATTGAAAAATTAATTTGAACAGATTATGATAAAACACAGCTTTCTGGTACTACTTCAGAATGCTAAGAATTGTTGGTGATGGAAATTTTTAACTCTGTTCTTTTAAGGTTCCGCACAGAAAGTGTCATGATTAAGAACATCCTGAAGCCAGCAGATGTTTTCCTGTGTCTATAATTAACTTAATTCCATCTGAGTAACTTCCTGATAACATGCAGGATGTTTCAGTATAGAATACAGAAGTCGTTCTAGGGGAAGATGTGTTCACCCTACTTTCTAGATCAGAGTTGGAGACTTGTACCCTCAGCAGAGTTTAGCAGTATATCTTACAGCTCTTCCTAGGATGGTCATGTATAATAGAAAAAGAGTTATTACTCTGTGTGGGCTAAAGTTTATCTTTCCAAACCAAATAAACCACAGTGGGACCACATTTCACTGCCTATGTGAAGTAATCCCTGGTGAGAAAGCGTCGTTCTTCTTATGTAGGGTACAACTGGAAGGGCACAGGGAGCTGGATACATCTGTAGCACAAGTGGATGAAAGTGAAGAATCATACAGACAACTGTGCTTTCTCTGCCTCCATATTCCCAGTGTTTGTACAGTTCCTTTTTGTGCAGGAGGGAAGGAGCTACTGTTTCTGCCTAATAACTTTGTAACTGCAGGGTGAAAACACAGCTAGCACCTGATGGGTGGAAACACTGATACTCGAATAAGGATTTGGGCGATGAGGAGATCATGAAGTGAGGTACTAATATATGTTTCCATATCAATTCTGTAAAAAAAGGGTAATATTTTGAAAATGTTTCAAAATCTGTAAATACTAAGAGGCAGTCTTGTCGGGCTGTGGTTTCTCTTATGTAAATAAGATTACACAGATGCTTGAAACATCAGGACCACTCTTTCTTGAATAGTGGCCCTTACACATATGTTCAGGTAGCACAGTGGGCACTTTTCAGCCCAGCATTAACTGCAGGAATTCATCCTCCATTTGTTCATAGTGTACTTCTATTGTGTAAAGAAGAAGAATATGCTTTAAGTACTTAATTTCTCCCAGTTTTTCCACTGAACCAGTGTTTTAGGGCAATATCTAAGTGGATTTAGCTTTTGAATTTCACAACTTGCACCTTTGCTTTGTGTTAACAACTTTTGTGCATGAAAGACAGCTGTATATTTTATCAGGGTGTGAAAACTTTCTTAAGGTCATATGAGAATTCATGCTTTAAAAAGTCAGCAAAGCACTTGCTGCATGCTTTCTGGATTATAAGTATTTGGGATATACAGGAAGCCCTGTTGGAAGCAAACAGTCATAGCTCTTTACAGAGGTGAAATATCTCAGTGTTGTAAAGATTTATATCAACACTTCGGACTCAGTAACATTAGAAATGGGGGCTCTGCTCCTTTGCCTGGCTGGTTTGCTGCCATCCCAGGTTTCAGCTAGGTTCCATGATCTCCTGGGGAGATGTTATTGCTATAGTCGTTAGAGATCATCTCTCATCCAGTCGTCCAAATGAATTAGATGCATCTGTTATCATGAATTTGGACTGTGCTGAATATTGAACTGGCACTTTACAGTCACTAGACGTATTTTTAGGATCACTGAAAGCACTGATAACATGTAGGGAATGGCATCAGGTGACTGTAGCCACACACACCCCAGCCTGGGCTGTGAGGGGAATTTTCAAAATACCTGTGAAGCTGCTTGGTCACCTGGGCTTTGGAGGAGTCTGGGAGAAGCTGGTAAATCTCAAAGTATGTGGTGTTATTGCAAAATGTGGAATATGTCAAAATTATCTTAAGTCAGGATGTACTCTGATCTTGGTGTACTTCCAGGCCTAATCAGCAAGAAAGGCGGCCTAATCAGTGGAAAAGAGAGCAGCCAGCATCCCTTACTCAAGGACATCCTGGAGCTAACAAGGTTTTGATGTATGTCTGTATTTATTGCCCGCTTGGCAAAAGACCAAGGTCCATGTATCCTATAGTTGGACAATCACTGTAATACTAAAAATCACTCCTACAGGTCAAAAAGAAGTGGAGATCCTTCCCCTGAACATGTGTACAAGTTAGCTGGGGTTATGTAACTGTTACGGAAATTACAAACCAACCATAATAACCAAGGGGTTGCACTTGGGAGGTTACTGACACTGAGTTTCTGTGTATAAATCTTAGAATTGTAGAATCATAGAACGTGCCAGGTTGGAAGGAACCCAGCAGGATCACTGAATTCAATTCCTAATCCAGCGCAGGATGCCCCAAGAATCCCACCGTGTGGGAGGATTGTCCAAACAACTTTGGAGAGTGTTGTCCAAACACTTCTTGAACGCTGTCAGGCTTGGTGCTGTGACCACTTCCCTGGGGAGCCTGTTCCAGTGCCCAACCACCCTCTGGGTAAAAAACCTTTTCCTGATATCCAGCTTAAACTCCCGACTCGGCTTCATGCTGTTCCCTCAGCGTTATTAATTTTCAAATCATTACTAACATCAACATTATTAATAATGGTGCATAAACTCCGGCGCGGCTTGCTTGATTTGTGGAATCCCACCGAGCACGCAGGCTTGTGCCCTCGAGAATAAATAAATAACCGAAGTCTCTCTCGAGTATGTGATTATTGGCTTGTTGCACACCGGGTAACGAATCCGAGTTTCACGGACAACATGAGGTGAGGTGAGACTTACTCTTTTTTTTTTCCTGTTTCCAGCGGCAGCCCTCACCCTCGGTCTCAACACCACCTGTCTCTGGGTTATCCGTCAGGCAGCAGCAATTTTCCACAAACCTTTTCCCCCCTCTTTTCTTTCAGACAGCAGCCGGAGGACTGCCGTAGGCTCTCCAGGGCGCTGCCCCCTTCGGCGCTGCCCCTCCGGTGCTCCCGGGCCGGGGTTGCCGTGCCCGTCCCAGCCGCCCGCGGCCACGGGCGGGCCCGGGCCCGGGCGGAGCCGCCCCCGCGCGTCACGGCCCGGGCGGGCGGAGGCGCAGCCAGGGAAAATGGCGGACGCCGCCGCCGGGGCGAGCTGAGCAGTGCTCGGGGCCGCCGCCTTTCTCCGTGTCACTGTCCGGCCGGGCTCGGGGAGCCGCCGCAGGGGCCGAGTCCCCCTGGCCGTGGGGTGAGTGGCGGGGGGAAGGCGGAGAGCGCGGGCCGGGCGCGGAAGGGCAGAGGAAGGACACGGTGGCGGGGGGGGGTGGGGAGGCGGCGCTGCCGCTGCCAGACAAAGGGCACCGCGGGGCCGCTCCCGGAGGGGCCCCGGGAGGGCGCGGGGCGAGAGCGATGCGTGTCCGCGGTGGGCTCTGGGGCCCGGTACCACAAGCCTCGATGCCCTCACTGGAGGGCCGCGGCCCGGCAGTGGCGGCGTGTCCGCTCCGGCCGGGGCATCCCGGGGCTCCGGCGGCGCCGTGTGCGGGGCGGACCGGGCTCGGTGTGGGGGTGTCGGGGGCACCGCGAGCGTCCCGAGGGTGCCGCGAGCACGGCCGGGGTTCGCTGTCAACCCCGCCCTGGCGGCGGGGGAACCTCTTGTTCCGAGTTCCTCTCCTTCTGTTGAGTCGGAAAGGTAGATAAGGGTAGATAAGGAAAGTTTCTGGCATGTGATTTCCAAGATGAAGAATGACAGAATGGTTGAGGCTGAGGGGGGACTTCCGCAGGTCATCTGGTCTTACCCCTCTCCTCAAGCAGGGACAGCAAGAGTGGATCACCCAGGACAGTGCCCAGACGGCTTTTTTGTGTCTCCGAGAACGGAGACTCCACAATCTCTCTGGGCAGCCTGTGCTAGTGCTGGTTCACCCTCACAGTAACAAAGTGTTTCCTGATGTTCAGACAGAGACTCCTTTGAGTCCAGAGAAGGGCAGCGAAGCAGGTGAAGGGTCCTGTGAGGAATGGCTGAGGGAGTTCTGGGGTTGTTTAGCCTGGAGAAAAAGAGGCTTAGGGGTGATCTTACCGCTCTTTACAATTACCTGAAAGGAGGTTG